AGATTAGAAGTCCAGCCCACTAGCCACTTCATAGTAGAAAAGACCATGTGACCTGTTTCTGTAAAGTGGGACAAGCTAGGAGACTCTTGCATAGGGTCAGTGTGAGTCAACATCCACTTGAGAGCACCCAACAACTACATGGTTAATATGCCAATAGTTGTGGGATTTCAGATATCTTTTCCTTAGAAACTTTCTTGTAAATTACCGGTAGCCATTTATCCTCCAACCCAGTGTATCCACCTCTTGGCATTTCTTTAATGGCGAGAAAGCAGAACATAATTTTATAAGCATAGAAGTTTATTGCAATAATATTTTTAATACTGAAAGATTATACACAGAAACAAAAACTCACTTCCATGGAGTGGATTCTTTCTCATGGAGACCCTGTCCAGCAGAGTAGAACTGCCCCTTCCGGTTTCAGATAGTCAGATAGGTAACTCCTTCTTTTGCTCTCCCACAGAGCAGCTGGTAGGTTCAAACTATTGACCTTGTGCTCAGCAGTCCAACACATAACCATGATGCCACTGGAACACTCGACGGTGGAAACTGTAGGTTTCCCACTCCTCACCCACTACACGACCAGAGATCTCCTTATTTAGCAATAGGGGAATATTTTAATGGCATATCCATACCTTTGTAATATTATACATTAGAGAGGTGTTTTAGAATATTTACAAGTGGTAAATAGTTTTAAGATAGTGTGAATGAAAATGTAAGTTATAAATCTATACAGCCATTCCAGTGGTGGTTATACTACACATCCTGACTTATTGCGCTATTAATTTAAAATAAATGCCAATTGAGGAACTGGACACTGTAATTAGTAACCGGGGAATACTCAGTCTGAGAGATTTACAAGAAAGGATATGACCTATTATTTTTGAAGCACAGTATATAAAATATATGGAAGACAACATGGAAGAGTAGATTGGAAGTCCAATAGAAACATAAAATAAGATTTATGGAAAAGTTCACATTCTGGGCAAGCTATGGAAAATAAGATCAAGAGTAAAGTAGGAACCACATTTAGTTTAAGGGAATATTGTTTTTATGATTCTGTAGAGAAGAATATAGGATTATTAGAAGATATATATACACCATTGTATTTATTACAGCAAAAATGTATCAAGTGCAGAGGTAATGATTTTGCACTTCTCTGAGAGATCAGGAGATGGAAAGATGGAGGCTGCAGAGGGGAAGGTTCCAGAGAAAGGAGATGGCTCCTGTTAGCTATGGCACTTCATGCAGTAATTGATAGTGAATGCCTATCTGCTGCTAGATCCGCAAGCAGGCACCAATCCAGATATCTAGACTGAGTAGATAGATAGCAAAGAGGCAAGAAATGCATAGGAAGCTAGAATTTTGCAAAGTGAATTCATCAGAACTACATGGTCAACAAGTTTTATGGGTAAGCACTGCACTGGTTTCTATAAGCTCAACAGTTCAAATCCACCCTCTACTCAACTGGAGAAAGATAAGGCTCTCTGTCCCCACAAAGGTTTATAGCCTCAGAAACTCTATGCATAAGGTCACTATGAGTTGGATTTGACTGGATGGTAGTGAGTGAGCTTGGATTGTTTTATTTTTAGTGTGATCACCCACTTTTATACATTCCTAATATAGTAATTCCATAGCAAATGAAACTCCTGCTTTCAGAATCCCAAACATGTCATCTAATTCAATTAAAATCTAGCATAGTTAAAAATCTTCACCAATGATAAAGATAATTCTCATCATCATTAATAGGCTATAATATCTGAATATACAAAGTAGTTCCATATATATTTATATTAATTACTTGTGTAAGATATCTCTGATATATGACTTGAAATTAGATAACTTCAGAATTTGAAAAATAGTTCATTGACTTTTCTGGACTTTTAATAAGTGCTTTAGGGTTTAAAAGGACACCTAATGGTATTGTCATGTAGGAGCTGGACTACTAATTTTAAGGTCACAAGTTCAAATCCATCAGCTGTTCCTAGTGAGAATGATGTGTGCCCATAAGGGTTTACATTGTATATAAAGTCATCAAGAGTTGGAACCAACTGGCAGTGGATTTGGCTTGGTGTTCCAGTGTCTCAACCAATGTATGTCATCTTTACAAAGCTAGAACCAATAAAATTCAGCCTATGCTTCCTAAAATGGCCTTTCTAGCAAATATCTGTGATAATTCTCGAGCCTATAAAATTACCCCATATTTTCACATTTTATCCACTCAGGAAATATTTCACATCTCTCCTTTAAAAAATTGTTTTATATGTTTACTAAAAAAAAAGCCACTAAATTTTAGACTAAGTAGAAAAAAACCCCTAAATTTCAAATTCTGTAGCTGAGAAACAATCTTTCACTATATAGGTTAAGTTAATAAGGTCATTTATTTTTGTGAACTCTGGAGTAATAGTCTTATTTTAATAAATCCAATAAATAAAGCTAACATTGCAAAAGCATGCCTTTGAAAGGGCAGAGCTCAGGTGAATTTAATGCAATAAAATACAGCAGAAGCAGGAGCTTCGGCAGAGAAGCCAACTTTAAATTTCTCATTTTATTATCTTAAAGAAAAAGCAATTCAGTGACTTCTTCCTTCCTTCCTTCTGTCTGTCCTTTCTTTCCCTTCTTTTCCCCGTCTTATCTCCACATTTTATTCTTTATGACTGCAACAGAAATTCTACAATTCAATTGGAGGCACTGAAAACTATGATACAAGTGATGATCTTTTCATAAAGAGGTGCAAAGCAGTGAACGGAATTTTGGAGATAATTTTGTAGTCATGACTACAAATTGCCCGCAAGTACTAGATTATGATTATTATCCATGGAAGTGGCAATCATACTGTTGTGAGGGGTCCTGGAGCCCTCTCTATGCTGTTCACTGACACCAACACACATTCTTTGTTGCTTACCAAAGCAAAGTTTTCTATGTCACGTAGACCACTGTCCGTGAGCTACTGTCAACCTCTCTCAGAATGGCCATCGCCCAAAGTGGTAGATCGGTTTTCAAAAGCTGAGGGTCACGTCGCTATTAATTTTTGTCACTTGAGGTTGGCCAGTTTATCTGCCATAAAATGATTAATTTTCTAAATTTAATAACCATAAGTAAACACTTTGAGCATCAACTCTGCTACTAAAAAGAAGTCCTTGATTGAATCAATATTTTTGTACTTCCATCTGACAGCGGGAGCATGTTTGGCAGTCCGACTTGTCCAGTGTTCCTGAAAGTGGTGCCAGTAATGATGCTAAGGCAATCCTGCGAATCTTTAAGTAGAGAGAGCCTTTTGACTTTTCTGTTCAATGTTTTAATTAGCATCAACTCGGATACGCTATCGAGGATTTGAAAGTCAAACTATGAAATCAGGACTATAATGCCTGGGTTAAGTTATAAAAGGATGCCCATTATGAAGATGATTCAAATTATGAAAACCACAAAAAGAAATTGCCTAATTTGGTATGATTATGCATTTCTTCTGAATCAGATCAGTTTTAATGGAAATGTTCGCGACAGAATTTAAGCTACTGAATACCCCTGATAGAGTAATATTTTAGGGAGAATGCAGAAATGAGGTGAGCAAGAATAAAAACCTACACTTAGAGGACATTTCGGAGTTCAAAAGATGTATGTACAGAATCTCCCGAAAGGATGAAATAGCGATTTATAGAGTTATAGTTTAACTTTGAGATGGTTAAATGTAATGAAAAGATATCTCTGAATGTTTTATATTTTATTAAATCTTCATCATAATTCACATTGTAGATTCCTTTAAAAGTCTGTACTATTTTGAATAAAAATGATTTCTTTTTAAATGCTAGATGTGGAATCTAAATGCTCCATTAATCTGCATAATTTTTAGTTAGCTTAATCTAGCTATTGTGATGAGCTTATCCTTGAATTCAGGGCCATCTTTCTTTATCCCTAGAAATCATGATGGGTACCCCATGAAGGATTATGCTTTTAAACACATCCCACACTCTGTCTTCAGATTCTGAAACATGTTTCTATGTAATAATCTAGCAATTAGCTGAGCTATTATTTGTAGTGTTGGCTATAGGATGCAGAATACTATATGAAAGAAGGAAGTAAATGGGAATACCACATGATATTAGGTAGTAATAAGAATGATACTCTAAAAAGAATGATACTTTATATTCATCCTTCTATATAAATAGATATATTTAATTAATTTTATATATTGAAACAGATTCTTTAAACCTCACAGGGAATCAAGAAGGCAGATAACTTGATTTAGACTCCTACTCTCCCAACTGTGAGACAAAAAATTCTCTTCCTCTAAGCCATGGAGATTGTTGCTTTTGTTATAAAAAGCTAGAAAACCAATCCACAATTGACGTCTGTGATTGTGTGTTATTTGAATAGACTATGAAACATATGTAAGATAAAATTTATACATAATGTGATTATTCATGAAATTGATTAAATTTTATTTTAAATTCCTTTTCTCCCCTTTAGCGAGGAGCTAGAGAATCATAATATTATTGTTTTCAGTTGGGCAAAGTAACTCCAACTCACTGTGATTCTATGGACCACAGGCCAAAACACTACCTGACCCTGCACTATCTTCACAGTTGCTTTGTTTGAGCCCATTGTTGAAGCCTCTACTTCAACCCATCTCCTTGAGTGGCTTTCTCTATTTCACTGACCCATTGATTTACCAAGCGTGATAACCTCTAGAGACTGGTTCCTCCTGACAATACCCAAAGAACAACAAAGTCTCACTGTGTCTGAATTCTGACTATACTTGGGAGCCAAGGCGGATTTGATAGCTATTCGTAGTCAATAGTCTTCACCAACACCTGAATCCAAATACATCAGTTCTTCTCCATTCTTCTTTGTTCCTGTTTTCATGTGCATATGAGGTGATCAAAAATGCCATGACTTGGGCCAATCACATCTTAGTCCTCAAATATTAACTTTGCTTTTGCAAAGAGATCTTTAGTTGTAGATCTTGTGCAATACATCGTTTGATTTCTTATTTGCTGTTTTCATAAAATAGTTTTCTATTCTATGATATTTTTATTTATGAAAATAATGAAGATTTCAAATGAGATAGATTTCAGAGAAGCGGGCGGATTCGATCATTCACATTGACATGTGTCTTCTGTAATCCTAAAGGAGAGAAAAACTAAGACGTTTTATTGATAAACAACATACATATACATTTAATAAATCAAATATTATGTGCCAATACAAGAGAAGGGGAAATCTATCTCATCCACTAAGAAATAATGTGGAAACACACATCATGAAAAATTAAGATGTTTGCATTCTTAGAATTCCATCTAGTAAAATCTCAAGACTTTTTCAGGACAATATTTCCCTTGACGCCCAAACAAAGTACAAGAATACAGTAATACAACATGTTGACTCGACTCAGAAACAAACAAAAGTGTGCCTGTCTTAAGTCTGCATTTCAAAATCCCAAACAAAAAACCCACTGACAAACCACTTGATTCTGATTAATAGTCACTCTATCAACACAAACTATTGATAGTCATTACCAAATACCCCTCTACCCTGTCTAGGTATTCTGGGACAGCAGATCTTATAGGAGGAGACAGAACTATTCTTGAAACTTTCCTCTTACAAATGATCGCAGCATCAATTTGGGAATTCCATACCGATCTCATTTGGATATCTAATTGAAATGAAATATATTTAAATGACTGGGAAGAAATTAGATCATTATATAATGTAATATCCATATGTATAACTATAGCTCATTTATTCAAGCCTCTGTCACAACCTACAATAATATTCAGGGATCTTCAAAGAAATAGTGCATACATATTTCATTTAAATATTTGCTCATATATTTGAGATCATTATTAGGAAAATGTTCTTCCTGTTTTAAAATTATTTGTCAGTTGAACATTTACTGAGAAAACTTACAGAAATTTATATCTATACATAAATATGGGATTCCAAAAGCATGTTGAAAATACCATTGTCTTTAAATTCAATATTTCATGAACTTTTTGCCCTAGCGTGTGTGTATAATTTATCTATAGGTTGACTTGAATGTATACTTTATCAGTAAACATTAGGAAAAAACTAGTCTCCTTTTCAGTGTTTACATTTTCATTTTCCTTGTTTTATTCTTGTACAATGATGCTCTAGAAAATATTGATAGTGGCTACCATGTATATATTTTTCAATCTTTTTAATGTTTCCTTGTGCCGATGAGATTTGCTATGTTTCCGGTCAAAGTTCCAGTAAGGGATACAACATTCTTTTAGGTTTCTCTTTTGGTCAGGTAAAAGTGTGATCTTTTTTTAAGTAAAAAATTTTTTTTTCTATGTAATAACCATATGTTTTTTTCAGTTAACTGGAATGACAAAATAAATTAATATTTTGCCTGATCGAGAACTTCCTTGAATTCTGAGAATAAACAGCATCTGGTCTTGATGAATATTTTATAACACTTTGAGATTTCAGTTGCCAAGATAATTACTTAGGATATTTTTTTGCATCCATCATCATACAATATTCTATAACTTTCTCTTCTGATACTTTTCTCATCATTGACTTTCAATAGTTGGCTCTAATATACATATAAAACATGTTGAGAGATCTGCTTCTTAGAACTTTGCTAAAAATCTATTTATCTTACCAGTTCTTAAGACTTTGGAAAATTTAAAGGTAAAACACAATTGTAAAGCTTTGTTCCTTCCTTTCAAAGGGGAGAAATGATGTGATTCACAAGTAAAATCTTCTTCAGCTCTGCAGCCAATTAAGCCGACACCGTCCTCCTCCTTGTTGGGGCCAGTGTGCAATGGCTGCAAACAGCAAGCCTCCTTGGTAGTGTATGCAGCCTATTGCTATGTATAGGCTGCCCCAAGGGACCTTAGAGACAGCCTTTTGCTGCTTTTCCATGCCTCTGTCTTGGCTAATTTCTGCCCTCCCTAAACTAGGCTCCAAACTGGGATACAAGGTGCTTTTGGGAAACCTCAAGGCACGGTGGCTAGAGTCCACATTGGCCAGGTTATCATGTCCATCCGCACCAGGCTTCAAAATAAGAAGCAGGTGATTGAGGCCTTACGCAGAGCCAAGTTCAAGTTTCCTGGGCGCCAGAAGATCCACATCTCCAAGAAGTGGGGCTTCACCAAGTTTAATGCCGATGAGTTTGAGGATATGGTGGCTGAGAAGTGTCTCACCTCGGTTGGTTTTGGGTTCAAGTCCTTCTTTCCCCTTGGCCCTTTGGCCAGTTGGTGGCCCTGCATTCATGAAGGCCTTGGTAGCCCTGTGCTGCTTCACTTGTACTCACCAAATAAAAATTGAACTTCCTGATAAACAAATCTTCTTCAGCAAGTGTTATATTCAATTTCCTCTGTGATTTCATATGGCACACAGAGAGCTCCTACCTTTACTAGTTTAATTGAATTAAATTCCTCAAAGTCCTTACTTATATTTTATAAATGACAGCTTTAATGGTAGTCATATTCTGTTCTTTTAATTTTTGAAAGGTATTTTTCCCCCTTTTGAAATCACTTTTGAGAACTTGCTTTGGATTTTGATGAGCACAAAAAAAAAAAAAAGAATTCTGTGGTTCTGGTGTTTGTTTTTCTTTTCTCCTCTCTGCTTCACAAGGGTGACTTCCGGTTCGCATCAAACCAGGAGTGTCCATGGAGCCCTTTGGACCAGAGACCCTCCCTCCTCCTGCCTTTCTCCCCTTCCCCCACTCCTCCCCTACGCCCACCCCACCCCCACACACACACAAGTAGCTGCTATGCAGCCATGAGCTGGGTCAAACAAATGGAAACTTTAAGCTCTATCACTTAATGTGTCTTAGTTGCTTAATGACTTTTACAAAATAGGTTTTATTTCTGGCTGTCAGGTTCACAGCAGACGAAGGAAGATCAATGCATACTCATACTGCACTTTCTTCAGAATGAATGCTCATCTTATGCCAGCTAGATCTTATCATACTATCAAAAACAACAGAGATGGCTTGGTATTATTTGGTTTATCTGTTTATTCAGGCAGAATCTGAAAGCATTTCATATGCAGCTAGATCAACAAATGCTTTTATTTTCCTGGCTTAACAATGGCCCATAGGCACCAATTTGGAATATGGAATTCATTGTGCTGAAACAATAACTCACTGAATGGTATCTAAGTGACCCATAAAAGTTAATGCAGTTTTTAAAGTCATCTAATGCAATACCAAAGAAGAGGTAGAAGAAAGTGGGTCATTCTGTAAGCAAATCTCTATGGTTTAGAAAAAAAAATAATATGGGGCAGCTTTGATGAAAAATGACTCAGAAAGAGGAACCAAATAAGCACAATAACAAAAACGTTCAATTCCTCATCACGTCGTGTCCTTAGAAGTCAGCGACTGTTTCTGAGTGATGTTTCATTGCTTTTATTCTTTAAAATGTACACAAGTCCTTCAGAATTTATGGTTACAATGGCTGCTGTGTAAAGAAATATTTAAAAAATATTAGAAACCCATTTTCAGAGATGTTATTAATATGATCCTTTGAGGTAGTTAATACAGTTATGATTCACCCACACTGATGCTAAGAAATCGAGTGAATTTTTTTAAGTACATATGCATCCTCCCATTCAACAATGCCATCCTATTTGCTGATATTCACATTTATATAACAGAACAAGTATGAAGAATACATACATTTTAAACATTTTGAAATAGTGTTCTTAATGTTAGCTAACAGAGAAGATTTCATCCTTTTATAAAATGTAGTTCTTCAGAATATACTTTATATTATTTTTATTCTAGCCGGAATGAAAATGTTTTATTTGGAATACTTGCAAAAAATTGGTCATTAACTATGCATCAGGATAAAGAATTAGATGCAATATAGAACTTAAATAATTCAAATTATCATAATGCATCACCAAATGAAATGCTATTCTTTAAGGTTCAATGAAATGTAATCATAATTTCTATTTTTAATTGTTCCTTTGAGTGATTCAGCTTTTGGGGGGAAGGAGGGAATCACAAAGAAACATGTGCCATATCTTTCAGAAGTACTCTTTTGGAGAAGTGAGAAAACTTTGCTATATTATAAATAAAAATATATACATAGTTAAAGTACATTACATGTAATGACAAATAAAATTTTCAAGTAATAGGAATGATCTAGGAATAAAATATACACTCTTGTGAATTATTGACTTATCAAACAGGAAGGTTTCAGGAAAGACAATGTTATTAGAATGGTTATTATATAGAATGAAGATTAGATAGGTAATCTTGATGGTTAACCAATTCTAATGTTTCATTTCATTAAAACTTTCCTTCTCCAATAGAAGCATTGAAGTGTTTCCTCTTCTGTCTGAGAGTGTGTAAACCATGATATGTCCAGGGGGAGCCCTGGTGGTAGAGTGAACTACGTGGTGGGCTGCTAACCCCAAAGGCAACAGTTCAAAATGTTCAGCTGCTCCAGTGGAGTAACAAGAATCTTTCAACTCTCATGACGAGTTAGAGTCACAGAAACCCAGACAGGCACAGGACGGGCCCTCTGTCCTGGAGCGTCACTATGAGAGTGAATCGACTCGGTGGCCGTGGGTTATTTGGATGATAGATTTTCAATACATGTTTCTGCATAAATGGTGTAGGCTTGGGTGGTACATAAGACAAAAACATATGGTCTGTCCTTTCTCATCCTTATATCTGTTTAAAAACATATGAGTGTTAGACAAGGACATGTATTTATAAACAAGTAGGAAATCAGATTTGAGAATGTGAACAGAATTTAAAGAAAATGGTGCTATGAGAAAATAGTGAAGCATGGTGTGAGACACGAGGTACATTAAGCAAAATATGAGATTTAATTCCAAAGCTGTAAGCTTACAACTCAATAGGCTAGAAAAGAGGACAAATGAAACTCAAAGAAAATAGAGAGACAGAGAGACTAACAGTAAGAATTCAGTGAGTGAAATAAAGACCAGCCACTAGTCCTTAGGCTTCCCAACAACACATGCAGTCAAGAGATACTGAGAGAATGCTTCAAATAATCCATAGCAAAATTGTGTTTGTGGGGGAGGGGTGGTTTCAAGTTGATTTTTAACTCATGGCAACCCTCTAAGGCAGAGCAGAGCAGTTTCAGCAGAAAGAAGACCTTGGACAATATAGATCGAAG